TTTCAACGAATGCTCTGAGTAACCTCATTCTACAAATGTACCATAGTAAGCATTCTTACTATATTATTATCCATCCACCTAAAACACAAGACCCTACCAACTGAGTACCCATCAATTATATTCTACTTAGAAAAAACATTCTGCTCCAGTGAAGCTGGATATTCAATTCGATTAACTCTTGTAGTACGGCAGGCACCAATACCTTTGTCTTGTAATTTGCGAAACAATGGAATAGTTGAAAATCCATTGTCCATATAGATTATAAAGTTATCAGAACAAGTATCAAGAGAGCGGCATAACTGTATGACAGCTGAGCTGGTTGGTAAAAGGTCTAGTACCTTGGTAAGCTCAGCAAAGAACTCAGTACATGATGTGAGTATCCAATCGAGTGTATATCGACTGTTGCATAGGGCAATTACTTTATAGCCAATGGGGATTAGCTTACTAGCAATGTAAACTGTGTGAAAACTATAGCCTGTGAAGGAGACCATTAACTTATCGATTGATACATGTGTGCCAGGAAGAAGTAAAGCCTGACTTTGGTATCACAGGTGAGAATTAATTGGCTCTAGCTTTTTCCATCAGCTACTTCTAGGTAAGCTAGCTGTCTCATCAGGCATTGATATGTGTATAAAACGCTTGACTTGACAGTACCAGTAGAAGCTCATAGAGCTGTAAGCTGAAAGTAACCCATCAGACCAGTACCTACTAACTCACCCTAATCAAGTAATACCTATGAGAATTGTGACTCCTAAAAATATTCGTAACTCAGTTGCTGAGATTGACTGCCACAATTGCTGCTTAGTTGCTTTTTTCTGCTTCGCATAACCATTCATTGCTCAAACAAGCTGCTTGATTATGTCGTTATCCCAAAACAGGCTGAAAAATGCTGCCAGTGTCATGCTGGTACCCAATGGCACTCCTTGTCTGCTCGCATGCTTGATATACTCCATAGGCCTGAACTCGGCCGGGTCATTTATCTCGGGCTTGGTGGTGGAGGTAGCGGCCTGTAAACTGCCAATCCTGTTCCCAGATCTGTGGGTTACTGCGCCTTTTACCCGTTTTACCAGAGGCACAATATTTGAATCGCATTTTGAAAGAGGTTTCCAAGATCATTTCACTAACATGATTTCTTATATCGTAAAATGTGGGCTTAAGGTACTGGTTTAAATGTGGGCATTTCAGCTGAAGTTGACTGGTACTAAGATGTAGTCTGAAGTCACATAATTGACTACCTTGGTTAAATCATTGATGCTAATACATGAGAGAGATTTTGCCCATGTCTCAGTAGACCAGGGAATATATACTCGATCATGTGGCTGTGTCACATGACCAACACAGCATCATCACTGGATAGGAAAGAAATAACGTAATTTCCAATACCTCCTTACAAAGAAGGGGCACTTCCTTTGGAATAGCCTCCGGCGGACTCAGAGATACAGGGTTTGTGCTGTTTGAAAGACCCCATTAGTGGTACAAATACTTCTGCTGTACTCGAGAGAGTGATCTTATTACACCTAACACCAACTCTTGTATGATACTCATCTACAGTTCACCTGAAATAAATGAAATTGAACCATGTTGGACCATATGAAAGACTCTATGGTGCAATATAGTCTCGTCGGGTAGTGGTGAGGAAACAAAGTAATGTGTAATGCTTTATAAAGTCATTCAGTCTCAGGGCTGGAAAATGTTGCTATGAAGCTTCTGATACTTAATTGCTCTCTAGTTATATAAAGCAGTTTCAACACCCGTTTTTTTTTTTTTTTTGTTAAATAGTAGAATCTATTTGCTTAAAGGTGCAAACCTCCACTATAAGAGCACAGCCCGGCTAAAGCATGGATTCTAGATACAAGGGCACCTCTGCAATAACCACCCCACACTCTCAATTTAGTTCTTAGACATGTTGGTCAAAAACCTCCTCCACAGGCCTAGGGGAAAACAAGCCATCCCAAGTCCCTCTGGTATGGAACCAACTGCACATCCGCCCTCATGAAAGCTCCTTCTGCACAAAACAAAAAAAGCACAAAACAGGACCGGCAGGAGCCAACAAGAAAACCCACACCTTATTCTCTTGAGAAAGGAAACACAAAAGAAACCCAACAAAGGAAACCACCTTGATAAACCATATTCCCAATTTTTCAGCCGGTCTAGCCTTGGCTAGCAGCTAGGAACATAGGGGAGAAC